CTTCAAACAAATGCATCTTTTTTTATAAGTTCAAAAGATGGGCTCTATAAATAATAAGTGATCTGCAGTCTCTCCTTTGTCATTCACAGTTTGTAGTAATGCTCTATACTACAGCATTTACAAAGCATGGGCCTTCTGATGAATGACTGCCTTACAGAAATAGAATAAATGAGGCTCCTGTAAGATATTTAGTAAGGTGACTGCAACGTAGTCACAGGTCCTAAATGCTGTGCATTAGACATTTCCTATTGGTTACAGTTTTACTCGGAAACACGGGCTTATGTTCTGGATTGCTGCTGTTCTTTCAAGGGCTTTGTAGCCTTTAAGAGGTAGAAGTACGAGGCAATAGAAGTAGCTCACTAGGGGCAGTACTTTGAAGGATAGACTTGCCTGATTCTGGTCGATTTTTGCTTTCTGGATCTATGTCATGTGAACCAGAGGCTGCCTCATGCTTGTATGATATGGTTCAGGTCACTAGATCATGTACTCCTTGCCGTAAAGAACTAAAAATCTCTCTGAAGATGTGAGTCAAAAGAAACATTGGGCAAACAAGGACTCAGCTGATAAAGATGCCTGCCATCAACCATGCCTTAAGTTTAATCGCCATGACTCAGGTGGTGGAAACAGAGAACCAGCTCTTGCAAATTGTCCTCTGACCTCCACTTCCTCAGGCACCTAAATGAAGTAAAATACAAGAGAAAAGAAACCACCTTCTCTTTAGTCATTCCTATCATGGATTTTGTCACAGTGCCCAGAAAAGTAACTAATACATCACTCTATACAGCATTAATGCAACCTTTTTATCCCTTTAAATTTGTTAATTATGTCAAACTCCTCTCTCCATGCTAGGGTTTAGTCTGACTAGGGCTTAAATAGGTGTTGTGTGTGCTGCCACAAACAGTATGACTTCACATGTGCCGCTAGCTACCTTGCTGTGCCTAGAAGACACTGTTTCCTTACGGTCATCTACAGCTGTTAGCTCTTATTCTTTTTCCATCTCTTCTGCCATGATCCCTGAGCCTTTGGAGGAGGGGATGCTGTGTTTATGTTTCATTTAGGGCTAGGCATTCTGTACACCTTGGCCAGTTGTGGGTCTCTCTGTGTTGATTATCATCTACTGCGTGCACAAGTTTCTGTAATGAAGGTTGTGAGATGCTTTAGTCTTTGGGTGTAATGCACTTCGGAGTTGGTTTAATTCTGTGTCCATTTAACAGAATAATAGTATGTTCTCTCCTAGGGTTTATGGTTTGTTTAGATAGCCTCTTGGTCCAATAATGAGGTCAGGTGTAGTGTTTTTTTTGTTTTGTTTTGTTTTCTTGTGGAGGATGCCTTAAATTCAATCAGGAAGTGGTTGATTACTCTCAGGACTTAGTGCCACTATTGCTTATCATTGTTATAGCTCACAAGTTCATAGCTGGGAAAGATTGATTTCTTTATATTCTTCGGTTTAATGGGCCAACAGTTGCCCTATAAAACAATAGATGCTAACAAATGAAGACCTAGTCTCAGAAATGGGTAACTTTTTGAGTTGTTGGTATAATACTTTAGATCACCATGAAAGCTGACCAGTAGGAATGAAGCTTCTAGGTCAGTTCCATCTTTATTTCTCCATGTTCTGTGACTTAAGTATGTGATGTTGTCAGCAGAAGGATCTTAACTGTCACACAGCTTATCTGTTTATCAATCGATGAATAGAAAATGAAAATATGATATATTTACACATATTTCCTAGCTATTATGAAATACAAAATTAGTGGGTAAATAGGTGGAGCTGGAGAAAATCCTGATTGAGATAATCCAGGCCCAGAAAGACAAGTAGTGTATGTTTTGTTTCATTTATGGGTGTTAGCTTCGTCTCTCTAGGTATGTGCTGTGCCTTTGGAATACTCACAGAGGTCAGGAAATTACTAAGGGATTATGGGGGTTCTTTTAAGGAATGAGGGAATAGAAAGCACTGGTATAACGTCTTAAGAGAAAATTATGAAACAGGAAGGGATAAATTGAGGTTGGGGAGGGGAGGACAGGTTAGAAGATGAAAAATATTAAGGGGGGCGGTTAAGTAACACTGAAGATTTCCAGAAGCCATATGAAAACGTATTATTGTAGAAGCTTCCTAAAATATTTCCATGCACACACATAAAGAGAAGGAAGCGGGATTACATGAGCAAGGGGGCAAGGTCAAGATCTTGACTGGGAAACCCACAGAGACAGGCAGTCAGTGTTCATGGACCTCATGGATTCTGTACTGACAGCAGGGGAATCTGCATGGGGCAGAGCCAGGCCCTTTGCATGTGGGTGACAGTTGCAGTTGTGTGGCTTAGTCTGTTTGTAACGCCCCTGGCATTGGACCAGGATGGGTCCCTGGTGCACGAGTTGGCTTTTTGGAGTCCATTCCTTAGGGAGGATGGGGTATGCCATGCTTTGTTTATTTCCACGGGAGACCTTAGCCTTTCTGGGGAGTGATTGGGGGTGAGTGTTATGGAGGAAGCTCCATTCAAGT